AATCAAAGGCAAACTCTGAAACAGGGTTGTCACAGGCCCCGGGGCCAAACCCCATTCACCTTCAGCCTTCCCCATCCCACCCGCTCCTGCAAGCGGCGTAAACGCGTTGCCAGGCGACAGTGGCAAACACTCAGAGCCCTGGAGAGAGGTGGGAAGCTGCTGAGGGGCAGGAGATGGCGCGGCCTGACGATAGGTCTGGGTGTTCTGGGAGGATCCCAAAAAGGGAGCAGCTCTGCCATGTCAGAGCTTGAGGTAGCATGTGTGCCACTTCTAGGAGGCCGGGATGGAGACAGCAGTTCGAGGAATGCCCTTGGAATGCCCTCCTAAGCCGGAGCGGCTCAATGCCTACGGTAAAGAGTGGTAGTGGGGCGGTGGAAAGAACAGGTGGAGAGGGTAGGGGAAGGCCGGGAGGAGGGCGCGATGGGGACCTGAGGACGGAGAAGAGGCCTAGGGTCCTGGAGAGGGCGGAACCCTGAATTTATCCGTCCGGCTTTTGTCTCCGCCTCGCTCTGTGACGCGGCCTCTTCCCAACCCTGTGCATCTATCTTTGGGTCTCCTGCACTTGGGACCCGCGGGCACAGAGCGCGAAGTGGTGGTGAACATGCTGAACTCACTATCGCGGAACCAGCAGCTGCCGCGGATCGCGCCCCGATGCGGGTGCGTGGACCCGCTGCCCGGCCGCCTGCCCTTCCACGGTTACGAAAGTGCTTGCTCTGGCCGCCACTACTGTCTGCGCGGGATGGACTACTACGCCAGCGGGACGCCCTGCACTGACCGCCGCCTGCGGCCTTGGTGCCGGGAACAACCGACTGTAAGGTTCGCAGGGCTCGGCCCGCCTCAGCCGGGCTCCACCCCCCACAAGCCCTGCCCCAGAGCCCCGCCCCACTTCCAGCCCGGCGTCCTCTGGGCGGGCCCCCAGCCTGCTCTACCCCCGCGCCGTGTCCCGTCTTTGGGCTCCAAGGCCTGAGCTAACAACTGAGGCGGGAGAACCAGAACGGAGGTTACTCTAAGTCCCCGACCCCTGTCTCTCTCAAACTGGGCTCAAGGTCATCCTAGCCTCTGTATATGCTCTGGAGGTCCTGCTAGAGGGTTTTTGAGGAAGAAACCCCGCACATCAGTCGCATCCTTTCCCACGTCTCCTTGGCCCTGCCTCCTTCCCTGGACACCTGGCCCTAGAGACACAGGTTCTAGCCTGTGGAGCGCCCTGCGTCCTCAGAAAAATGTCCTCTCTTGCTGGGCCCCCGTCACCGTCCCTAGTGGGTGGGGGTCATCGCTGAGGGCTACGTGAGCCAGGAAATGGTGACCACTTTACCAGAATGGCTCTGGCCTCCTCGGATCCCGTACCACCTGCGGAGGTAGGCACCCTCGCGTGTTACAGCTAAGTAAACTGAAGCCCGAGCGCACACCTGGAGCCCAGACTGCAGTGCGGCATTCGTCCTGCACCCGGCGGCAGCCAAGCCTAGGAGAACTTCGTCCGCGGTAGCCCAGAGAGCTGTGCAGAGGGCGTCCATAGTGATCCCCCGCTCCTTTCCAGGCCGATAGAGCCTGATTCATTGTGCGAGACTGAGTCTTATCCCTCTCAAGGGCATGGGGGTGCGGAAAGTATCTGAGCCTTTAGAAAGCTCAGAAACGATGCTTTGTCCTAGTGCTGGAGAAACTGTTGTCCAGTGGTGGGGAAGGGCCCTGGTTCTCATCCTTAGAGAGTTGGAGAAAGGATTAACCTCCTACAAACAGATCCCTCCAAGTGCATTCCGGATGCCATCTCCTCCCATCTTCCCAGCCACCCTGCTTCCATCAGCTTCCTCCATCTTTCTTGCATCCCTCTGTCCCACTCAACGACCAGAGCCCGACCCTCTCCAGCGTCCAGCGTTCTTCCCTGAACCGCAGAAATGAGGCCTGGTCGGAAGGAAGACTTCCAAGGGGGACTTCCTGAGCTGGTGCTACAGTGGGGGGTCTTTAAGAGTGGGGAAGAAGGAGAGGAGGATTTGCGGCCTTGGGATGGACACCTGAAGCGCCGTCCAGGGGCTTGGTCTAAATTGGGGGATGCGAGTCAAAAGGCCCAACCCCTCCGTGCCCACGGTTTCCTCCTCCTCCTCCAGATGTGTACCTCCCTACGAGCACCGGCCCGGAATGCAGTGTGCTGTTACAACTCCCCTGCCGTCATACTGCCCATATCCGAACCTTAGGTAAGTCTAGTGCGCACACACTCATTTGCACACAGATTTTGGAGTCTTGGTGCGCCGGGGCGTCGGGGGGACGATGGCGGGTAAATGAAATGAGAACGCTCCGCTGCGGTGCACTGACAGGCAGACACCACCAGGGGGAGCTAGTGCCATGGAGCAGTCAAGGCCAAAGGACCGTAGGAGAAGGCTACGAGGCCGATACTGAAGGTTTACAGGTTAGCAGTGGGCTTAGAGTCAAGGTCATTGGGCTCAGAGCTTGAAGTAAGGAGTAAGAAGTCAATGTTAAGGAGGAAGTATTGGGTATCAGCCATTTAACAGCAGAACCTAAGGTTAGGAGGTCAGTATTGAAACCCAAGGTCAGTGCTACAGGCAAAGTGTAGGGATAAGGTTAGCATTATGAACTGGAGTCAGATATTCACTTTGACAGATGAGGATCCAAAAGGGCTGACCCATCTCTCCCTGCAGGTGGGACACAAGTCACTTCAAGAAGACTGGTGGTCCCCAGAGAAACAACTATGTCATCCATCCTGAGTTTGTGTCTGAGACCTATCCTGACTATCGTTGCTGGTAGAGCCTGGGCTTGCTGGGCCATGGGGGCAGAGCAATAAATAAACTCTTCATCCCCAAAGCCTACCTCCTGTGTCCTTACCCAGCAGGATTTGGAAGTGAAGGGCCAGTCACTCAGGCCTCTACCAAACCCCTTCAACTGAGATGCAATTTTTCTCAAAGTCGCTCTTCCCTGAGCCTTTCCAACCCCATCATCTCAGTACGTCCCTGAGTGCCCTCCTGATACCAAACAGTTGCCCTATATCCAGCTGCTGTCCTCCTCCCTTGCATCCCAGAGCCCAAATAAATGGGTCCATGTTGCAATGCAGGCAGGAGTCATCTACTTCCCACCCCATGAAGACCCTCCAGCTAACATTTCCTCAGTATGTCCCCAAACTTAGATGCCCTCCCACACATCAGAGGACTCAGAATCCTTCCTTCCATTCAAAGCCCTATCCCTACACCCAAAGCTCTTGATCTCTGCTTCCAGGAGTCCCCATCATAGCCCTCCAAAAGCCTCTCTGCTCAGACACCCTGGCTGCACAAGGGTGTGCCCCCCACCCCAAATCCAACTGGTCAAAACATAATTTTGGAGGGTCTCATGACCAAGAAATTTCAAGGTGCAAAACAAAGCCCTTCTCTGCTCCTCAGGGAGCGAGAAGGCGGGCATTCTAGAATCTCTGGGATCTTTGGTATTTTCCTTTCTGCATCAATGATATGAAACCAACTGGGTGCAGTGGCTCACACCTGTAATCCCAGCACTTCAAGAGGCCAAGGCAGGAGGACCACTTGAGCCAGGAATTCGAGACCAGCCTGGGGCAACAAAAGGAGACCTCTTCTCTACAAAAAATTTAGAAATTAGCAGGGCATAGTGGCATGGGCATGTGGTCCCAGTTAGGAGGCTGAGGTGGGAGGACAGCTTGAATCAAGGAGATCTAGGCTGCAGAGAGTCATGTTCACACCACTGCACACCAGCCTGGGTGAGAGAGAGAGATCCTCTCTCAAAAAAGATAAGACCAGGCGTGGTGGCTCATGCTTGTAATCCCGGTACTTTGGGAGACCAAGGCAGTGGATCACCTGAGGTCAGGAGTTTGAGACCAGCCTGACCAACACCGTGAAACCCCGTCTCTACTAAAAATAGCCGGGTGTGTTGGTGCATGCCTGTAATCCCACCTACTTGGAAAGTTGAGGCAGGAGAATTGCTTGAACCCGGGAGGCAGAGGTTGTAGTGAGCGAGCCTACATCGCGCCATTGTACTCCAGCCTAGGCAACAAGAGGGAAACTCAAAATTAAATAAATATATAAATAAAATAAAATAGAAAACAGAAATGAAACCTCAAAGACTTGCACACTCCCCGGAGATGGGGGCATGGCGGGGCACGCCCACTTTCCCGAAGCTTGGGCATTTCTTTTTTTTTTTTTTTTTTTTTTTTTGAGACGGAGTTTCGCTCTTGTTGCCCAGGCTGGAGTGCAATGGCGCGATCTCGGCTCACCGCAACCTCCGCCTCCTGGGTTCAGGCAATTCTCCTGCCTGAGCCTCCTGAGTAACTGGGATTACAGGCACGTGCCACCATGCCCAGCTAATTTTTTGCACCTTTAGTAGAGACGGGGTTTCACCATGTTGACCAGGATGGTCTCGATCTCTCAACCTCGTGATCCAACCGCCTCGGCCTCCCAAAGTGCTGGGATTACAGGCTTGAGCCACCGCGCCCGGCCGCTTGGGCATTTCTAACCAAAGGCTGTAACTAGGAGGAGGGACTGGACCCTATAAATAACTAGTCTGGGGGTGGCGGTCAGGGAGACGGGTTGTAAAACACCAAGCAGAAACCGGTCTTCTCAGTCTCTGACCTCGGACACCTCTGGTTTGGACCGGTGGGAACCGACAACTTGTTTTCGGCTGGTTGGAACTATAGCTCCCTTTGTGGGGCCCTTGATTGGAAGCACACTGCATTGGGCGCTGAGATACTCCCAGAATTCTGCCACCCCTTTTCCATATGGGAAAACTGAGGGCTTGTGAGAGCGTTATACCCATATGATGGTATAACGTTATATCGGTATACCTTGCCCAAACTGGGAAGGAAGGAATTCCAAAGGCCAGCCCTGCTCCTTTACCCTGAGGCTCTCTCCCTCTCATCCTCATTCCAAACCTAGCCTAGGGGCACAAGAACCCCAACCTTCCACAGCTGCTCCTTTCTGCAGAACTACATGTCCCAGCAGGCCTGGAGCTGAGCCCCGCCCGCTTGTGGGTAATCAGTAGCCTAGCAGGCGCGGGCCGGCCGGCGGGAGGCAGAACCCGGGGGCGCAGGACTCAGCAAGCCTGAAACGCCAGGGGCAGAGCACAGAGCAGTGAGAGGAAGGTGGGGCTGAGGGGCAGGGCCTCAGGTCCGCCGCGTGATAACCTGGGAGGAGAGGTCGAACGCCAGGGGCTGGGCTGGACTCTGAGGCTCGAGGCGAGACTGGATGACAGGGGCGTGGCCGAGGAGCCCCAGGGCGGGGCCCGAGGAGGGTCTCAGCTGTGTCCTGCCAGGCAGCACCCCGCGCGGCGCGGCGGCAGCTCCACTCTGGCTCAAGCGGAGGGGATCGGCGGGAAGCTCCTTCACCCCCTACTTCTGCCGGGCTGTAGCTGCAGTGGGTGAGCCCAGCGGGAGGGCCATGGGGGACGGGAAGCTACTGAGGGAGCACGATTTCTGAACTTTCGTTCCCACCGATGAATGGGTGGAGCGAGCCTAGACACCTGGGCCCACCCCACGGCCGCGATTCCCGATTCCCGATTCCCTCCGGCCGACAGGTCCCTTGATCTCGGCCGGTCCCTTCGGACAGTACAGCCTTCGGGCGGGGTGCTGAGGGGGGATGTAAGGTATTCCAGGCTGTGTAGACAGTCACTCGATCCCGCAGATCCCATCGCCGTGCAGGAGAGGGAGATGAGCCGGATCGAGTTGCCTTTGACATTTCCATCCCCCACTGGGAACTGTGTCCAACTAACGATTCTACTAGGAATGGCCTCCCCTCAGTTGAGCAGGGCGGGGCCCTCCCCCTCAGACCAAACTAGCCGTGGCAGCCAAGACTGAGGTTGAGTGTCCAGTGGGGAGAGGCTCAGCAGGAGGAGAGCCCAGGGAGATCCGCCCTGCAATCTCCACCTGCTAGCACTAGCCTTGGGTTGGCTAGATGGCGGAGGTGGCAGATTTCAGAGGTCTCTGGTGCCACTGTTAACAGCAGAACCACAGAGTTCCTCCCCCAAAGCCCAGGTACTAGATGCCATTAAAACTGCCCTCTTTGCTGCCTCTAAGAGGCCCTGAGGTCGGCATGGAGCAAGCAGCAGCACCAACCCTTGAAAAAAACAGGCCTCACCATGCCATGTCCATCTGATGGAAGCCAGTTCCACCAGCTCAGCCACAGGGCTCCTTTCTGCTACTGCATTCAGGCAGCCAGGTCAGACCATTACCTCCCATTTCCTCTTAAAACTTGTGCTGTGGGGAGAGGAGCTGGGATTTTAGATCCAGGCAGCCTTGCTACCTGGCAGACTTCAGACAAGTTCCTTTTTCTGTTTGGGCCACATTTTCTCATCTGTAAAATGGACACTGCAGCTATGTCTGCTATATCACACTGTTGATAGAATTGGATGCTGTGGTGGCATTTGGGAGACTATCATGGTGCCTGAGGTGGGTGGGTGCCCAGGCCTGTGGGCTTCTGTCTTTCATTAAAGAACCTCAGATCCTGGAAAATAAAGATTCGCAGAACCTAACTGTTGGAAAGGACTTTTGAACCCACTTTGGTGGCCTCTTCATGCCTCCAGGGCTCATGAGATAGGCTGACTTCATGTGAAGGTTTTGAGGATGAGGGAGTCTCTCTCTTCAGATACTGACCCTCTCTCTCCTTATTTCCTGGGTGCCCATAATGTGGCTTTGGTTGTGTTGAATGAATGAATATAAACTCACAAGTGTGATCTGAGCCACCTAAGGCCTTCTTTGGGTTCTGCTCAGCTCGAGGGCATCAGCTAAAGGCCACTGGTTGCATTTTCCAGAAGGAGTTTTCCACTTTGGGAGGCTGAGAAGCTGTATCTATATAGGATTAGGGAGGAAAGCTAAGTCATTGTAGGCTGAGAGGAAGGGACTAAGAGTCTGTTAAAGATCAGCTAGGACTGACAAACTGAAGCAACTGGGGGCAGAGGGAACTCAGAATGAGGCCCTGAGCTAGCACCTTGTGGGGCGTGCCTCTGGGAGGAGCTGTGTATTGACATTTAGGATCAAATTCTGCTCCACACCTTGCGTTCTTCAGAGTCTCTGCATAGGGGAAGTAAAAAATCTGAGTAGTTCCGGCATCTCCTTGGAAGTCCCTGGGGACTTAGAGACAGACACTGGCATCTGGGAGGAGGTTAATTACTGTTTGCCAGTCTCCTGTTCTTCCCCCGAGCTGGAGCAGTTGGGCAACTGTTGGCTGGCTGTGTGTATGCCTGTGTGTGCACCTGGCTGGTACTATTTCTTTGTTGGACTCTGATCTAAAGCCTTGGACAGGTACAGTCGGTGGCCTTGAATCGCAGACTGGGACACAATTCTTCCTCTGAGCCTGTTTCCCTGTAATCATATCTGGACTTCTAAAATTTTTATTTATTTTTATTTTTTGAGATAGGGTCTTACTTTGTCGCCCAGGCTAGAGTGAAGTGTCACACTCTCAGCTCACTGCAACCTCAACCTCCTGGGCTCAAGTGACCCTCCCATCTCAGCTCCCCCCACCAAACCTGCCCAAGTAGCTGGGTCTACAGGTGCATGCAACCATTCCTGGCTAATGTTTTTTTTTCTTTCTTTCTTTCTTTTTTTTTAAATATATTTTTGGTAGAGACAGGATTTCAACATGTTCCCTAGACTGGTATCAAACTCCTGAGCTCAAGCAATCCACCCTCCTTGGCCTCCCAAAGTGCTAGGATTACAGGCGTGAGCACCATGCATGGCCTCATATCTGGATGTTTAGCATATAGTGTGTCAGAGTTTATGTGTGTTAGGGGTAATGATGGGTGTCTGATCCCTGGAGAGCAGGTAGGTGGAGGAGGTGTGTTGGTCTGAGCTAGGTGAGTGAAATCTCTTGAAGCAGGTGGCCTAAAGGATTTAGGTTGGGGAAAAAATTAGCTTGGTAGTCACAAGATAGGCCAGGCTGGAAATGGAGTCAGAATGGTAGCTGAAAACACATCATGCCTCAAGCCTCTAATGCAAAGCAAACACTTTTAAATTTCATCATGGGCCAGGCGCAGTGGCTCACACCTGTAATCCCAGCAGTTTGGGAGGCTGAGACAGGTGGATCATGAGGTCAGTTCAAGACCAGACTGGCCAACATGGTGAAACCCCATCTCTACTAAAAAATATAAAAATTAGCTAGGCATGGTGTAATCCAGCGACTTGGGAGGCTGAGGTAGGAAAATTGCTTGAACTGGGACCCTGTAGGCAGAGGTTTAGGTGAGCCGAGATCTCGCCACTGCACTCTAGCCTGGGCTACAGAGCAAGACTCCATCTCAAAAAAAAAAAAAAAAAAAAAAAAAAAAAATTCATCATGGGAGTAATGAGCTCTTGAAGCTAGGAATAGACATGGTTTAATAAGTGCTTTAGAAAAATCACTATGGTTGCCAAGATCAGAAGGCATTGATAAGAAAGAATTTAGAAGCAGAGCGTCCTATTGGGGGAATAATAATACAGTAATACTGGGGAGAAGTGACAGCACCCAAACTATGACAGAAACAGGACAGTGGGTGAATGGTAGAAACAGAGCTAGGAAGTAGCTGGCCCACAGATGTGGTGCCAGGAGCAGAGCAGGAAGGTGAGAAGGGAAATGGACTTGGTGATGGATGGCTGAGAGCTGGGTGAGCTTGAGAGCAAAGAGAAGCAGATGTGAGAAACAAGTGACCTCCCATGCCAGGCTCCTGCCCCAGACCCTAATGTCCCAGTCCTACCTCCCTCTAAACCAGGCCCTGGGGCTGAGTCTGGCTTTGGATATCTTCTTTAATCTCCAGATTTCATTTGGCTTTTGACTCAAGATAAAAATCCACTCCTGAGCTGTTCTCCCTTCCTCCCTCCTCTCACCCTCTGGGGACAGGGAAGCTAGCCTACCACCCTGTTAAAAGTATCAAGGAGGCCAGGTGTGGTGGCTCATGCCTATAATCCCAGCACTTTGGGAGGCTGAGGCAGGTGAATCACCTGAGGTCGGGAGTTTGAGACCAGCCTGACCAACATGAAGAAACCTCGTCTTTACTAAAAGTACAAAAGAAAAAGCCAGGTGTGGTAGCACATGCCTGTAATCCTAGTTACTTGTGAGGCTGTGGCAGGAAAATCACTTGAATCTGGGAGGCGAAGGTTTCGTTGAGCCGAGATCATGCCACTGCACTCCAGCCTAGGCAACAAGAACAAAACTCCAACTCAAGAAAAAAAAAAAAAAAAAAACTCTATGGGAGTCAGCCACGGTGACTCACGCCTGTAGTCCCCGCACATCTGGAGGCCGAGGTGTGTGAATCACTTGAGGTCATGAGTTCGAGACCAGCCTGACCAACATGGTGAAACCCCGTCTCTACCAAAAATAAAAAAAATTAGCTGGGTGTGGTGGTGTGTGCCTTTAATCCAGCTACTTGGGAGGTTGAGGCAGGAGAATCATTTGAACCCAGGAGGCAGAGGTTGCAGTGAGCTGATATCACAGTACTACACTCCAGTCTGGGTGACAGAGGGAGATGCCATCTGAAGAGAAAGAAAGAAAGAGAAAGAAAAGAAAAAAAAGGAAGGAAGGAGAGAGAGAGAGAAAGAAAGTCTCAAGGGGCTGGCTGAACCATCTCCTCTCTCTCACCCTGGCCATCCACACCTCTAGGAGAGCAGTTTTCCAGTTCCGTACCCGTCTCTTCAGCCCAAACGCCGCCATGTGTGATACGGGGAGGCCTGGTTTACCCTGTGATCCTGCAAAGTTTCCCGACCCTCTCAAGGTTTGTTTCTCCACTAGGAAAATAAGGATGCTTGCCATCTCCCAGCACATGCCCCGCCCCCCAGTCACAGTCCTAATTTGGGCAAGCATTAGGAACCATGAGAAAGGGTGGCTTAGACATAGATTGTCCTGGTAAAAGTCTCACCTTTGCCACTTGTCAGGCCTTCAGGTTCCAGTATTCATCTTCCCAAAGTATACGCCTCTTCTTAGCTTGAGGCAGCAAAGGGAAATAACATGGGATGAAAAAGCTCAGTTCCATCTTTCTCTCCTCCTTTCTGAGCAGGTTGAGATGAGCTCGGTCAGATGGCTGCACGGCCCGCTCCTTTCTTAGCAGGCCACTAATGCTCCAGAACTCTCAGGAGAAGAGCCAGGCCTACCCTCGCCACCGCCGGCCTGGCTACTACACAGACCGCCAGAATCCGGAGGCCGTCGCAGCCGCAGCTATGTACACCTTCCTGCCCGACAACTTCTCGCCTGCCAAGCCCAAGCCTTCCAAAGAGCTGAAGCCGCTGCTGGGCTCCGCGGTCCTGGGGCTGCTGCTGGTGCTGGCCGCCGTGGTGGCCTGGTGCTACTACAGCGTCTCTCTACGCAAGGCGGAGCGACTTCGCGCGGAGCTGCTGGACCTCAACGCTGGCGGCTTCTCCATCCGCAACCAGAAGGGCGAGCAGGTCTTCCGCCTGGCCTTCCGCTCCGGCGCGCTAGACCTCGATTCCTGCAGCCGCGACGGCGCCCTGCTGGGCTGCTCGCTCACGGCCGACGGGCGGCCTCTGAACTTCTTCATCCAGACGGTGCGGCCCAAGGACACGGTTATGTGCTACCGCGTGCGCTGGGAGGAGGCGGTGCAGGGCAGGGCGGTCGAACACGCCATGTTCCTGGGCGACGCGGCGGCGCACTGGTATGGTGGCGCAGAGATGAGGACGCAACACTGGCCCATTCGCCTGGACGGCCAGCAGGAGCCCCAGCCCTTCGTCACCAGCGATGTCTACTCCTCCGACGCCGCGTTTGGGGGCATCCTTGAGCGCTACTGGCTATCTTCACGCGCGGCCGCCATCAAAGTCAACGACTCAGTGCCCTTCCACCTGGGCTGGAACGGGACGGAGCGCTCGCTGCGGCTGCAGGCACGCTACCACGACACGCCCTACAAGCCTGCCGCCGGCCGCGCGGCAGCGCCCGAGCTGAGCTACCGAGTGTGCGTGGGCTCGGACGTCACTTCCATCCACAAGTACATGGTGCGCCGCTACTTCAACAAGCCTTCGAGGGTGCCAGCGCCCGAGGCCTTCCGAGACCCCATTTGGTCCACATGGGCGCTATACGGGCGCGCCGTGGACCAGGAGAAGGTGCTGCATTTTGCACAACAGATTCGCCAGCACCGCTTCAACAGCAGCCACTTGGAAATCGACGACATGTACACACCCGCTTATGGCGACTTCGACTTTGATGAGGTCAAATTCCCCAATGCCAGCGACATGTTCCGCCGCCTGCGCGACGCCGGCTTCCGCGTCACGCTCTGGGTGCACCCATTTGTCAACTACAACTCAGTCGCGCTTTGGCGAGGGTGTGGAGCGCGAGCTGTTCGTGCGCGAACCCACGGGCCGGCTGCCCTCGCTAGTGCGCTGGTGGAATGGCATCGGCGCCGTGCTCGACTTCACGAACCCGAAAGCCCGCGACTGGTTTCAGGGACACCTGCGGCGGCTGCGCTCTCGCTACTCCGTGGTTTCCTTCAAGTTCGACGCGGGCGAGGTCAGCTACCTGCCGCGAGACTTCAGCACCTACCGGCCGCTGCCGGACCCCAGCGTCTGGAGCCGGCGCTACACTGAGATGGCGCTGCCCTTCTTCTCGCTGGCGGAGGTGCGCGTGGGCTACCAATCACAGAACATCTCCTGCTTCTTCCGCCTGGTAGATCGCGACTCGGTGTGGGGCTACGACCTGGGGCTGCGCTCGCTCATCCCGGCGGTGCTCACCGTCAGCATGCTGGGCTACCCATTCATCCTACCCGATATGGTGGGCGGCAACGCCGTGCCCGAGCGCACAGCCGGCGGCGACGTGCCGGAGCGAGAGCTCTACATTCGCTGGCTGGAAGTGGCCGCCTTCATGCCCGCCATGCAGTTCTCTATCCCGCCCTGGCGCTACGACGCAGAAGTGGTGGCCATCGCACAGAAGTTCGCAGCCCTACGGGCCTCGCTAGTGGCGCCGCTGTTGCTTGAGCTGGCGGGCGAGGTCACCGACACGGGTGACCCTATCGTGCGCCCCCTTTGGTGGATCGCGCCCGGTGACGAGACAGCTCACCGCATCGACTCGCAGTTCCTGATTGGGGACACGCTGCTCGTGGCGCCGGTGCTGGAGCCCGGCAAGCAGGAGCGCGACGTCTATTTGCCCGCAGGCAAGTGGCGCAGCTACAAGGGCGAACTTTTTGACAAGACGCCGGTGCTGCTCACCGATTACCCGGTCGACCTGGACGAGGTCGCCTACTTTACCTGGGCGTCCTGACCCAGCCCAGGGCCCGGGAACCATAGAGCCCCCAGCCTTCATGCAGACCTCGAACCCTCCCTCACACCCGCACCGTGTACTCCCAGGAACCTCCACCTCTATACCACCCATTATGTGGCTGCCGACCTAAATGTGATGGAACCAGCTGCTGAAGGTGAGGTCTGGGGAGGGGGCACTGAAGCAATCTCCTGCTCCAACCGACAATCCTGACTGTGCCCTTCCCACTCCCGCACGCTCACACCGGTCTGCAGAAACCTCTTCCCTGGGGTGGGAGCCAGAGAGCTTAGAGGAAAAAGGTCAGCTCTCTTCGTGTTACACATAGTTGGGGTTTAAAAGCACAAAGAGAAACCCCTCCATCCTGGCCTTGGTGGCCATCTTTGTCCATCTTAGGTGGGGACTTGATTTTATTTAAGGTCCCCAAATAGCCCTCACCACACTTAGAAAGTATGCTTTCTTAGTGTTGGAAGCCAGGCCCTTAGTTCCCAGCACTCACCTGAACTGTGGCTGATTTGGTCCCAGCCCAGCTGGAAGAGAAGGTGTTTGGCTAACTGAAAAGGAGGCAAGAGGTCCCCTCCCAGGGAACAGGAGGACTGGGCTTAGCACAGAGCCATCATCATGTTCCCTATTTGTGAAGAGACTCCTAACACTGCACTAATCCATTTGCGTACATACATAGGTTCAGCCCTGGGCCAGATGTACCTGATAGAACAGACTTGCAGAGCCATGCAGGCCAGACTTTGTGCCTTAACCTGTGTGCGTGTGTGTGTGTGTGTGTGTGTGTGTGTGTGTAAGAGAGAGAGAGAGAGAGAGAGAGAGAGAGTCGCATCGTGGGTCCCTGATCTATGAAATGAACACAACCTCTCAGGCTGGTTAATCTGGAGGAAGGAGGCATGGAGCAAATCTGAGGTTCTGATTGCTGAGCCAGCCTCCTCCCAGGTGGTTTCCCTGGGACTCTGGTAGGAAATAAATAGCCCTTTTAAGATTCCTCAGCTGCCTCACTCCCAGCACATGTCCCTGGAGTGTGGCCTAGAAGGGAGTGATGTTCCTATTCTGGTGATCTGTGCTGCTTCTGAACACAAGGTACATGCATACACTGACAACTACCAATAAACAGACAGGGGAAGGTCTTTCATGTCAGCGATTTTTTTTTTTTTTTTTTTTTTTGAGACGGAGTCTTGCTCTGTCACTCAGGCTAGAGTGCAATGGTACAATCTTGGCTTTCTGCAACTTCTGCCTCCCAGATTCAAGCGATTCTCCTGCCTCCGCTTCCCAGATAGCTGGAATTGCAGGCACACATCACTATGCCTGGCTGTTTGTTTGTTTTGAGACAAGAATCTTGCTCTGGTGCCAAGCACCAGGCTGGAGTGCAGTGACGCGATCTTGGCTCACTGCAACCTCCACCTCCCAGGTTCAAGCCATTCTCCTGCTTCAGCTTCCTGAGTAGCTCGCGCTACAGGCACATGCCACCATGCCCAGCTAATTTTTGTCTTTTAGTAGAGACAGGGTTTCACCATGTTGGCCAGGATGGTCTCGATCTCTTGACCTCATGATCCACCCGCCTCGGCCTCCCAAAGTGCTCAGATTACAGGCATGAGCCACCGTGCCAGCCATTTTCTCTTTCTGAGAAGAGCAACCTCAGCAGAGTGAGTTTTTTCTGACTTTGCAGATCAGTCTGGAGAAAAGTGGCATGCCAGAGCAGGTAGGTGGGAAACAGTGTGGACTTCAGGCTTCCATCAACAGCTCTGGTAGCAGAACCAATCCCCCACCCCCTATAGAATGTATCCTTTTGCCACCTGATATGGTTTGGCTGTGTCACCACCTAAAACTCATCTTGAATTGTAGCTCCCATAATTGCCATATGTTATGGGAAGGACCTGGTGGAGATAATTGAATCATGGGGGCAGTTTCCACCATACTGTTCTGGTGGTAGTGAATAGGTCTCACGAGATCTGATGATCTTACAAAGGGTTTCCCCTTTCACTTGGCTCTCATTCTCTATTGCCTGCCACCATGTAAGACGTGCCTTTCCACCATAATTGTGAGGTCTCCCCAGCCAGGTGGAACTGTGAGTTCATTAAACCTCTTTTTCCTTATAAATTACCCAGTCTTAGTTATGTCTTTATCAGCAGTGTGAAAATGAACTAATACAGTAAATTTGGTACCAATAGAGTGGGGTGCTGCTGTAAATAACCAAAAATGTGGAATAAACTTTGGAACTGGGTAACAGGCAGAGGTTGGAACAGTTTGGAGGGATCGGAAGACAGGAAAATGTGGGAACGTTTGGAACTTCCTAGAGGCTTGTTAAATGGCTTTGACCAAAATGCTGATAATGATATGGACAATGAAATCCAGGCTGAGGCAGTCTCAGATGGAGATGAGGAACTTGTTGGGTACTGGAGCAAAGGGAACTCTTGCTATATTTTAGCAAAGAGACTGGCTGCATTTTGCCCCAGCCCTAGAGATTTGTGGAACTTTGAACTTGAGGGAGATGATTTAGGGTATCTGGCAGAAGAAATTTCTAAGCAACAAAGCATTCAAGAATTGACCTGGGTTCTGTTAAAAGCATTCAGTTTTCAAAAGGAAACAGAGCATAAAAGTTTGGAAAACCTGCAGCCTGACAGTGAGATAGAAAAGAAAAATCCATTTTCTGAGGAGAAATTCAAGCCTGCTGAAGAAATTTGCATTAGTAACAAGGAGCCAAATGTTAATCACCAAGACATGGGGAAAATGTCTCCAAGGCATATTAGAGACCTTTGCAGCAGCACCTCCCATCATAGGCCTGGAGGCCTAGGAGAAAAAAATGGTTTTGTGGGCCAAGCCCAGGGTCTCCATGCAGTCCAGGACTTGGTCCCTGTATCCCAGCCACTCTAGCCATGGCTAAAAGGGCCCAAGGTACAACTTGGGCCATGGCTTCAGAGGGTGCAAGCCCCAAGGCTTGGCAGCTTCCACGTGGTGTTGAGCCTGCAGGTGCACAGAACTCAAGAATTGAGTTTTGGGAATCTCTGCCTAGATTTCAGAGGATGTGTGGAAATTCATGGATGCCTAGGCAGAAGTTTGTTACAGGGGTGGGACTCTCATGGTGAACCTCTCGTAGGGCACTCTGGAAGGGAAATGTGGGGTTGAAGGCCCCACACAGAGTCCCCACTGAGGCACTGCCTAGTGAAGCTGTGAGAAGAGGGCTACTGTCCTCCAGACCCTAGAATGGTATATCCACTGACAGCTTGCACCATGCACCTGGAAAAGCCACAAACACTCAACGTCAGCCTGTGAAACCAGCCAAGAGGTAGGCTATACCCTGTAATGCCACAGGGGTGGATCTGCGCAAGACCACGGGAACCCACCTCCTGCATCACTGTGACCTGGATGTAAGACGTGGGGTCAAAGGAGATCATTTTGGAGCTTTAAGAGTTAACTGCCCTGCTGGATTTCAGACTTTAACAGGCATTTCCCCCTTGTTTTGGCCAACTTCTCCCCTTGGATTGGGTGTGTTTGGCACTAACTTGCCTTTGATTTTACAGACTCACAGGCAGAAGGGACTTGCCTTGTCTCAAATGAGACTTCGAACTGTGGCCTTTTGAGTTAATGCTGAAATGAGTTAAGACTTTGGTCTGCCCTTGGAAGCTGCTGGCTAATGTTAAAATTTTTTTAAACAAAACATTAAAAAAAAAAAAAGACTTTGGGGAACTGTTGGGGAACTGTTGGCATGATTGATTTTTAAATGAGAGGACATGAGATTTGGAAGGGTACAAGGAGAGAATGATATGGTTTGGCTGTACCCCCACCCATATCTCACCTTAAACTGTAGCTCCCATAATTGTGGGAGGGACCTTGTGGGAGATAATTAAATCATGGGGGCAGTTTTCCCCATACTGTCCTGGTGGTAGTGAATAAGTCTCATGAGATCTGATGGCCTTATAAGGGGTTTCCCTTTTTGTTTGGCTCTCATTCTCTCTTGCCTACTGCCATATAGATGTGCCTTTAGCCTTCCACCGTAATTGTGAGGCCTCCCCAGCCACGTGGAATTGTGAGTTCATTAAATCTCTTTTTCTTTATAAATTACCCAGTCTTGGGTATGTCTTTATCAGCATTGTGAAAGTAGACTAATACACCACTCCTCCACCTTCTTTATTTTCTCAGTGTGAAAAATGCCTGATGAAAGCTTTGGGGCCCCTCACAGATGCACAACTCAAGTGCCGATTCTAGGACTCATTTATCAGCTCTGTTAACTTGAACAAGCTGCTTAACCTTGCTGAGCCTCTGTTTTCTCATATGTACAATGGTGATAATAATGCCTACCTCCCCAGGTTGTTGTAAGAATTATAAGCACAAATGTATGTAAAGTGCCTGGCACAAAGTAGGTGCTCAATAAAAGGTAGTTATTATAATTATTTCTTGTTTTCTTGATTAAAAACAAGGATCCTTCTAGAACCCAGCTCTCAGCCTGGATGGCTTTCTCTGGGTCTGCCTGTGAAACCCCCTCCCCAACTCTCTGCACATAGCCCCCAGTTGAGCTCTGAGTTTGTGACCAAAGGACACTGTAGTCCAGGAGAAAGGCGAAAAGAGAGATACCTAAAGGTGGGATGTCAGCAGCCATGATTCCTAGGCCCCTGGGAGATGGAAAGTGAAAGCTGGATTTTGGACTTGCATGGGAGTAGAGTTAGTTTCTCTCCTTTTCATCAAGCATCTACCATCTACCAACTGATACTCACTGATAAGCCTCCCTGGGCCTGGTGTCCAGCCATGTGCTGTAGAGTAAGTGTAGAAGGAGAACCCCAGGTTGAGCCCTAGAAAGTTGTTTTAATGGCTGGAGAACATGACCCATATTTGAATGGTTCTCCAGCTTTCTATGCAACCTGAAACAACTTTTACCTAACCTTGGTTTCTTCATCTTTAAAATGGAATTTCTAGGATTCACTGAGGTGTATAAAGCACTTATGAAAAAACTGGCAAAGAGTAAATGCTCAATAAATGGTAACTCCTATAAACTATAAACAAGGAACAAAGGCCAGGTGCGGTGGCTCAAGCCTGTAATCCCAGCACTTTGGGAGGCCGAGGCAGGTGGATCATGAGGTCAAGAGATCAAGACCATCCTGGTCAACATGGTGAAACCCCATCTCTACTAAAAATGAAAAAAAAAAAAAAATTAACTGGGCATGGCGGCGTGTGCCTGTAATCCCAGCTACTCAGGAGGCTGAGGCAGGAGAATTGCCTGAACCCAGGAGGCAGAGGTTGTGGTGAGCCGAGATCACGCCATTGCACTCCAGCCTGGGTAACAAGAGCGAAACTCCGTCTAAAAAAAGAAAAAAAAAAAACAAGGAACAAAGAGAGAAAAACTATGGCTAGAACCTGCATTGTCCAATATAGTAGTCAGTAGCCATATATGGCTTCTTAAATTTACTTCTAAAGTTAATTAAAATTCAGTTCTTTAGGCACATTAGCCACACTTAAAATGTTCAACAGCCGTGTGTGACTAGTAGCTAATGTAATGGACAGTGCAAATTACACATCATTTCCATAGTTGCAACAAGTATTATTGGACAGCCCTGGACCAAGCAGTGTATGACATGGGGAGGAAGAAGATAATCTGTGAGGCTTCCCTGGAGGAGGAATACTTTTTAGAAGGGCATTGAAGGCAGAGAGGAGTGTCTGATGGCCTGCATGGGGGAAAAAGCCAGACTGCACAGCCTGTCTGGCCAAATTCCAACAAACTGGCCCTTGGCTTGGGATCTGGTTTCTAGTCTGGCTTCTGCCATTGACCCCATTAATCACAAAAGCACAGATGAACAAACAGAAGCTCTGAGAGAGGAGGATATTGGCCTGAGTTCATGGAAAATGAGTAACCACAGCGGCACTAGGACCTTGGTGTCCTATTTCCCGGGATCTAGAATCTCAGACCCAGAACTCACCCCCTTTCAATAGCATGGCCCATGCCAGGCTGTATACCTCCAAGGATGGGAGCTAGCTGAAATGTGCATCTCAAGCTGCCACCCAGTAGGCCCGATTCTAGGCCGAGAAGTGTTTCCCCTTTCCCTACCGACTCTCAAAAAGGATTCAAGAAATTGGGAGGGCATGCTGAAATGTCAGGATTCACGAGGGTCTTTCTTAGAGCTAGGGAATGAAAAAAGAATTGGGCTGCCAGTTACCCCTATCCCTAATT